ATGGTTTTCAATGCATTCCTATGGGAATGCAGATTTTGACCTGCGAACTTTTTGACTTGCAAACTGCCTTCCAATATGGATTAAGTTCGCAAGTCAAGACCCCACTGTAACTGGTCTTCCATGAACCTGATCTCTTTGAGTAGTAGATCAACATGATGTGTGTAGGCTAGAACATTTTCAGAGGCCTCAAGGCACGTTTTTGCTTGCCAAACAACTAATACTAGGAAAAATACAATATAATCAGGCAGATTAATCAAAGGCATATGGAACATTTAGATCAGTGGTTCCCAACCTTGGGTCCCCAGATGTTCTTGGACTACAACTCACAGAAATCCTGGCCAACACAGTTCATGATGGCCTTGGGGCTCTTAAGCCTAGAACATATGGGGACCCAAGGTTGGGAACCACTGATTTAGATAAGTAAAAGTTTCTGAAGAAAATATTGGATTATACCAGTGCAAGACTATATAATGGCCTAGAATTGTGACAATGAGAAACAATGTAATCAAAGGTTGGTATGATATGACAGCTCCTGCAAAAGGTAATAAAATGCCTTGAATACACCTGAAGTTAGGAGGATACCCTGTTTCCCCTATAATAAGACCTAACCTGAAAATAAGCCCTAGTATGATTTTCCAGGATGCTCGTAATATAAGCCCTACTCCAAAAATAAGCCCCAGTCAAGTGAAACCCCGCCCTCCACCATTGTGCAGCAACAAGAAGATGACACGACTGTATTTGGATAAATGTAGATCATTGTACATGAAAAAAAAATAAAACATCCCCTGAAAATAAGCCCTAATGCATTTTTGGAGCAAAAATTAATATAAGACCCTGGTCTTATTTTCAGGGAAACAGGATATCTGTTACTGTAGTTTATCTTCTACTGTATAATGGACCACAAGCATCTAAAATTACTTTTGCCAAAAACATCCTTAGAAAGTGTGCTGCTTATCAACCGCCCCATAATGCTTAAAACACTCGCTGGGTGGTTTACAATTTAATAAGGCAAGCTACACATCACCCCCCCGCCCCCTGGTGAGCTGGGTACTCAGTTTAGCGACCTTGGAAAGATGGAAGACTTAGCAAACCTCAATCCGACTAACTGAACCTGGGATTGAACTTAAGTTGTGAACAGAGTCTTTGACTGCAGTACTGCAGTTTAACCACTGCTCTACAAGGCTCCTTAAAACAGTGGTTCCCAACCTTTTTGACACCGCAGACAGGTTGGGGGAGGATGGGGTCCGTATGTGGGGAAGGTGGGGCACTCCCCCATGCTCACGTGCATATGTGAAGGGATGCTCACACGCATGCACGAAGGGGCGAAGGCACTCACATGCATGGGCTGTGCGGGGGAGGGAGATCTGTCTCTGCGGCCCAGTCCAGCTGAGGCCATAGACCGACACTGGGCCATGGACCGGGGTTTGAGGATCCCTGCCTTAAAAGCTGTACTAGCTGTTATCTTTGAAGAATGGAACACTTTAAAATCCAACTTCTATGTCCCAATTTTTCCATACATACATATTTTAGTGTACAGTGGTGCCTCGCAAGACGATTAAAATTCGTTCCGCGAGAAGCGCTGTTAGCGAAAAAAATCGTCTATGGGAACCTCGCAGGACGAATGAACTTTATTTGTCTTGCGAGGCATTGGTCTCGGAAAAAAGTCTTGCAAAGCATGGTCATAGAAAAAAACCATCTTGCAAGGCACCATAGCAATTGCAAAAAACAATCGTCTTGCAGGTTTTTCGTCCTGCGAGGCAATCATCTTGCGAGGCACCACTGTATTTGTATGTCTCACATCTTACTGTGCAACTATTAAAATGTACATTCAAAAGTGTGACATATCACTCGTGCACATGTCTTGTTAAATATATTCATCATAGCTTTTGAGTATGGTGATCATTTACATGATGCAACATTGCCAACTGTACAATCCTACAAGAAGGCTAAAGTTCCACTTACCTTAAACAAAGTGGAATTAATGCTCCCGACTCCTTGTTGAATTTTAGGTGAACACTTTCAAGCTGTCTTGTGCGAATCAGCTCATGGGGAATAATTGCTGCTGAGCTGTCACTTTCTAAGCTGTCCTTGCGACTCCTAAGGAAAGACAACTATAGGTCTTTAGAGCTCAAACAGTACAGTAACTTATTTACACTAGTTCTGTGAAAAGAATATTGTGGTTTAGAGTGGAAGAACAAAATACTGGCTAAAATTCAGCATAGTTAAAACTAACAGAATCTATGGAATTTATGGTCTGGGTGACTCACCAAATCCCCACTGATTCAATGGATCTACTCTAGTTGTGACTTACTATTCGATTTCAACCACTCTATCATAGCAAAAAGTAACAGGCCCTTCACAAGCACAAAAACTGCATGGCTGTATATTGCCGTACTTACCAAGAGTACAGCATTTTTCATCCTTCAATTTCATATTCCACCATATCACACTTAACTCTGATCCAGTAATACTGATTTATAAACAATTATTTTTTCTATTTTTAATCTGACTCATCCAATTTAAGGATCTTGTCTCATCTTTCTAACGTGAGGGAATGTTTTTTCCACATTCCTGGAAGTTTTCAAGAGATTTAATAGTGATCTATCAGGATGTATGCAGAATACTATATAATGCACTCCACATATAATTAGTTAAACAGCATTGCAGATGTCTAATGCAGGTACTGCAGGAGCGTAGGTGTCACAACATTTACCTTACATATTTTCAGCTATACACTGAAGATGGACCTGTCAGCATATCTGCAAATCATTTGGCAAAAACTCTCACACAGATCTAATAGATAACGCCTACTATATTCAGGATGAGAAACAAGTAAATGTTTACAGAATTGCATCACCAAAACTGGAATACAGTAATTTTTTGCCAATCAGCTTTCTTGCCTTTCACATCTGTACATAGTTACTTCGAATAACATAGCACAGGATGATTTTCATCTTGGTCTCCAGAGAAACTCACTTGAGGACATTATCTAGTTCCCTTATAGCTGACCTCTCGAGTTTCAGTCCCCTGATTTCTTTGTTGCATTCTTTATTTGGATTGATGGTTGAAATGAGATATATAAATATCTTTTAGCATTTTTTATTTCTTCATTGTCAACATTAAAATTATGTGATTCTTTTGTAGACAAGACTTTTGTTTTCTCAATATTCAACTTCAGTCCTACTGTTGCACTTTCTTCTTTCACCTTTATTGTTTGAAGCCACTGCTGCTTTCTGTCAGTAATATGGTGCCATCTGCGTAATATAATTAATGGACATTTCTTCTACCAGTTTTCAGTTCTTCTTCATCTGAATCTTAATCCAGATTTCTGTATGAAAATTCTACATACAGACTGAACAGATGGGGAGATAAAATAGATTTCTTTTTGACACCTTTGCCAATCAGGAACCATACTGTTTCTATTTACTGTTTTAGTGATAGCTTCTTTTTCTAAATACAGGTTGTGCATCAGGACAATCAAATGCTAAGGCACAAACCATTTATTTTAAAATGATCCATTGCTCTTCATGATCCACAGTAAAAGGTTTTATTATAATCTATAAAGCACAGACTGATTTCCTCCCAAAATTCTTTGCAACTTCTTATTTGCAAAGAATTTCAAAATCATTTTGCAATTTTTGTTGTAACATGATTCGTTCCAGCCCGCTGTGATAGAATTGCTGTTATACTGGTCATAGTACAATTCAGGCCAATACTTTCTCCCCCCAAAAATCAGACTCCAGCTGCAGTTCTGATTCCTCTCAAATGTCTTCCATCTAGATAGGATATCACGTGTGATGTTGTGTAGGTGGCAGAAATCCTCAGACAAAATTAAAACAGGAGGGAAAGTCCGAAGAATGCATTTTGCAGTTTAGCCATTTTAACCAAATGATAAATATTCAACTGGCCACTTGTTACAAGAAACACTTGTGTTAAAGCAATGGTAATGAAAATGGAATGTTATTGTAGTAAGCATTTTTAAAGCACATGCCAAGAGAACTGCAAACTCTTAGCAATGGTCTTCAATCTTCTATGTTTTTGCATGGGATCCAATGTTGAGAGAGGTCAATTCATTCCTAAGCTTCAAACCATAATGAAACCGCCCATTTACAGTCAAATTTACTCAGCTGAGCATTCTAGGATATTTCTGCTGCTTCCCAAATACTCCAGGCTAAATCACTGTTAAAACTGATTGTGTGACAGCATTGACCTCCCCACCACATGACCCTAATCACTATCCACAACCTTACTGACAAAGAGCATATTACACAGGTTTTTTTCCTGAGCAACAAACTGATTTCTTGTAGCTGGGGATTCATAGAATGCTATAAAAGTGATTGTGTACTATTAATGGATAAAGGTGCCTTTGCTGCTTCATTAAAACTAGTACTGTACCTGTTCTTGGCAACAGTACAGCCAGCTGTTGTGTTTTGTGTTTGGCTAAGACCTACAAGTATATTTATATGTCAATGTTAATTCTGAACCTCCACAAAAAAGGTCATTAGAATAATGAGGCATATTTATATTCACACTTCTTTAGAATTAAAAGTTAACTTGGTCACAGGTCCCTGAGTCCTCTGTCCATTGTGGGTGGGGCATACTGGGCTTCTTAATCCACAAAAACAATTTCTTAAAATTCTATTCAGAACAATATGCCGATGACACCCAACTCTACATCGCCTTTTCACCAACTGCAGGTGATGCCGTTCTGTCCCTTCAGCGCTCCCTGGGGGCCGTACTGCAATGGATGCAGGAGAATGGGCTGAGGCTGAACCCGGACAAGATGTAAGTTCTGAGGGTGGGAGGCCCCGTGGCTGGCGGCTTGGGTGATTCTCTCACGTTTGGGGGGGGTGACCCTGGCCACGAAGAGTGGGGTCCGCAGCTTGGGCATATATTTGGACCTGACACTCACCATGGAAAAGCAGGTGGCGTCGGTAGTCCGCACCGCCTTTTTCCACCTATGGCGGATTGCTCAGCTGCGGCCCTATCTAGACACAGGGGCACTCACTACCTTGGTGCATGCACTAGTAATCGCAAGATTAGACCACTGTAACGTGCTCTACGTGGGGCTGCCTTTGAGGCTGATGCGGAAACTTCAGGTGGTGCAGAATGCGACGGCCAGACTCCTTACTGGAGTGAGAAAATAGCAACACATTTCGCCAAATCTGGCCGCACTGCATTGGCTGCCCATTCGTTTCCGTGTCGACTTCAAAGTCTTAATGCTTACTTATAAAGCCATAAACGGTTTAGGACCTCAATATTTGGCGGAACGCCTGCTCCCACCAAGGTCTACCCGGATCACCCGTGTGAGTCAGGAGGGTGAGGCTGAGGAGCCTGATGCCGAGAGAGGCCCGGAAGGAGAAGACACGAAACCGGGCCTTCTCAGCAGTGGCTCCTTGCCTATGGAACAACCTCCCTCCTGAGATTCGCACAGCACCTACACTGGGAATCTTTAAAACCCAATTAAAAACATGGTTATGCATCCAGGCCTTCCCTCCAGTCAATACCTGATTTCTTTCTATTTTCCTTTATTTTTTTCTTCTACTTTATTAGAATTGTTATTGAACGACTATGCACATTCTTGTGTTTATTGTTTTATCCTATATTGTAAGTCAAATAAATAAATAAATAAATAAGCAGAACAATTCCAAATTAAAAGTATATGAATCCTTATGAATCCTATATGAGTCTGTCCCAGATTTTTTTTTTGCATTTTTCACATTTTGCCAGCTCCAATATTCTAGGAGTCTGTTCCTTTGCCCTGAAGTTCATCCTGCCTTGTTTCTTGACTTGACCACATCCTGTTGAACTTCTCCAAAACAGATTATGTAAAAACTGTGAAGGAAGCTCCTGTAAATCCATATTAGATAGAGACCTGCTACATCTGGCTCTTGACACCAAGAGATTTTCCTTACTGTGTGATCCTGGAAGATTAAGAGTTCTTCATCTACTTTGTCTCTGAAATGAAGGCCCTACTCTTTGGTTTGCTAGCCCTTAAGAATGGGAGGATACTGACAGGGCCACCCACATATTAGATTTGCAATAACATATGCTAAGCTGAATAAAAAACCAAGTATGCCACAGATTTTACGTTCTTTTAGCATGAATGAAAACCCATGCCTGGCCCTTGGGAAGGAGGACAAGCCAGACAAGGGAGTGATGGAATTCCTGGCCTTCTAACAACATATTTTTTTTAAAGGAGGGGTGGAGAACTCATTAATGTATCTCATTTTGTCTGCAAATTACAGCTTTTAAAAAAGACAATTCACCAAACATTTTGTTTGTAATATTTGTTATTCTCAATTTTATAGCCATTAATCATGACACCTACTCAAGTAGAGGTGTTCAGCTAAAAAGTGGTACAAGTTTTTCTTTTTTTAAAACTTGCATGTAAAAATACAGTAAATGTCTCCACCAGATTGAATGCTTCATCCAGTCAATACAAATAATTCATGATTCTCAGTTTGCATCCAGGAAAAAAGGGATAGTAGTGGAAACCAGTGACAAAAGCCAGCACTGCTCTGCTGTGTTCATGAGAGGGAGAGCATTTGAATGAAAAGCAATGTGCCGAAAATGCCCCAGTTTGAAGACTGCATATCTAGCATTTTATGGAACTGGAGGGGAATCTGAGATTAAAGCTCATTCCCAAGTGATTGAAGGATTGTAGGAGGTGTAAGTGTGGGCAGTTGTCAGATTAATTCTTTAGATGATTAAATTCTTTTTGTTTCTTTAAAGCTGTTTGTAGTCATGTTTGAAGTCTCTTCATTTTGAGCAAGTATAATGCGGCAGTTACCAAGGTGACTTTTGCTGACTTTCAACTATTTCTTCCTTCATCTTCTGTTCTTACCAACAGCCTAAATTGGTTTCTAAATCTTGTGAATTGAGATGAAGAACAGTGCTGTTAGCTGCAGTGCTGTTAGCTGCAGCCATATTAGACTTTAAAGGCCCAGTTTGGGTAGCATACTGGTCACACTGGTAGCCTGCAGCAAAATCTAAACCCATCTACATTTACTGTAAGTGAATGGCCTGACCTGGCCCCAGGACAAAGCATGCCATGGCCAAACACACCTTCTGTTCTCTTGCCATATTAAAAACTG